AGAGAGAGGGGTTCATACAGACACACTGACTGACTGGACACTCCAGTGTTCACTTCTGAGCATAGCATAGATACCATAATCCTCTCAAAGCATTTCATCACAACAGACGTCAGTATTACCGGCCTGTAATCACTGTTATCTGAGGGACAGGGCTTTTTGGGTATTGGCACGATTATTGTCAACAGACTTCTGAAAGATGGGGCACCATGCTGGTGTTAACTCCTCAGCGCAGTTTTTTTAGAAGAGAGGCAGTGATGCCATCGGGCCCTGTTGCCTTTTTCGCACATATGTGCCTGAAAGACTGTGTGGTCGTCCACGGACTTATTACAAGCCTACCAGCACTACGGTGAGCTGTGATAGTATCTAATATACTGTCACATGCACCAGAGACTTCCTGCGTCTCAAACCTCAGATAGAAGTCGTTCAGCTCGTTTGCTTTAGCCAGCTCATCCACTGCATGGAAGCTGTTTCTTGAGGAATTCATGTTTGTGACTGTTGTCATTGTTTGCCACAGCCTCCTGGAGTTCAGTTTCAAAGTCCCTCTCCATTGTCTCCTTGTGGTGATGCCTTGCATTCCTGAGTTTTAGTTTCAGCTCTTTTTGCAGTAATTTCAGTTGCACTTGATCCCGGTTTTTAAAAGCGAGTCTTTTGCGGTTGATGCAGTCTATCACATCCTTAGTTATACATGGTTTATTGTTTGGGTACACGGTTATGCTTTTCTTGGGCATGACACTGTCCGCACAGAACTTAATGTAGTCTGGAACAGCCTCTGTTGCTTCATTAACCTCCAGGCTATGAAATATCTCCCAGTCTGTGCAAAGGAAACACCCTCTCAGCATCTCAATACTACCATCAGTCCACACATGTACAGTTTTAGTGACAGGTCTGCTGCTCTTGAGAACTGTCCAGTAAGTGGGGATGAGGTGAACCGTATTGAGACCAGAGTTAGACAGAGGTGGTTTGGCTTTGGCAGAATAGGCTTCTTTTATATTACCGCAGCATTTGTCCAGAACTAGAATAAAGACGCACTTACCATAATGGACTGGTGCGATCTTCGGAGGGATGTACTTCCTACCAACACCTGACAGCTCTCGCTCTGCAGAACCCTCTGGTCTCTCTTCTTCATCTTCAGAGACCTCAGACTCACTCAGCTGTGAGAATTAAGGTGTTAATACAGACACTCTGACTGACTGGACACTCCAGTACATTAACACTGCACTGAGAGAGAGGGGTTCATACAGACACTCTGACTGACTGGACACTCCA